GGTTCAAAGCCAGCCCAGGCAGGAAAGTCTGTGAGACTCTTATCTCCAATAAAACCACTAGAAAACCAGAAGTGGCGCTGTGGCTCAAGTGGTAGAGTGCTAGCCTTGAGCTGAAGAGCTGAGGGACAACGCCTAGGCCCAGAGTTAAATCCCAAGACTGCCAAAAAAAGCACTTCGTTTGCCCATTATTTCATTTGATCACCAATTCCTTTAAAGATGAGGAAAATGAGTCTCAGTTAGGTTAAGTGACTTGCTCAAGGTTACTCAGTGAAGAATCAGAGTGGGGAATTGAGCACAGGTCTTTTGGCCGATAGTACTCAGCAAGTAAAATCTAATATCTGCTAGTTAAGTGGAATGGAAGGGAAGACCAAGGATGGTGAGGAAGATAATAAATGTTGCTATAGTCTGTTTTATGCTGCTATAACTGAATACTACACATTGGAAAACTGATTTACATAGAACAGGGATTTATTTCTTCCAGTTCTAGAACCTGAGAAATCCAAGATGAAGGGATGTGTACCTGGTATCTTCTTGTGTTACCCCATGGCAGGAAGTGGAAGGGCAAGAGAACATTAGGAGAGAGAGGTAAAGGAGGCTGGTTGCATTTTTTTAATCACTAGGGAAATCTGCCCTCATGATTTAATCACTTCTTGAAGGTTCTACGTCTCAGTGTTGTTGCACTGAAGATCAAATTGCTAACACATGTACTTTGGGGGGCATATTTAAACTAGAACAAATGTAATTCATGTATATGAGATCCAATTTTTTTTTGATGTGCCAGTCTTAGGGCATAAACCTGAGCACTGTCCCTGAGCTTTTCTTGCTTAGGGCTACGACTCTTATACTTGAGCCACAGCTCCACTTCTGGCTTTTTGGTGGTTAGAGATGAGTCTCACAGACTTTTCTTCCTGGGTTGGCTTCGAACTGAGAACTTGACATCTCAGCCCTAGGAGTAGCTGGGATTACAGGTGTAAAACACTGGCAACTGATCTAGATCCAATTTTTTTAACCTAAACTTGGTTAATTTCAATTTTTTGAAATGATTGATTTAGATTATTCTTCTCTAAATACTCAAGTGTCAGATCAGTTATCCCTGACATTCCAACATTTTGGGTTTAAGTCTTAAGTTCTACAAAGACATGGTCCTTACCTCTCCTGCTACCCTGTGGTGCTCAACATAAGACCTGACACATGATAGGTACTCAATAAGCGTTGGCTAAAATAGTGAGTGAATGAATGAATGAATGAACAAAGGAAAGGGAGTGGGAGTTAAGACTCTGTAAACCTCCATCACTTGCCTAGCTCTCAATCATCTCACCCATCCTCATTTTCAAAATAAGTGCCAGCTAAGAGATAACTGAGATTTAATTCAATTCCATTCCCATTCATTCTTGGCTTTGAGCAAGCCATTTGAACTTTCTAGACTTCCATTTTCCTATTTTATAAAGCTGACTTAATGCTAGAACCCATTTTAGCAAGAAGGCTTAGGAGGAGGGGATATGTAGAGATATTAGTGTTTTATAGGCTATTTAGCAATGTCCAATAAAGGTTATTGCTGTTTATTTACAAAGTAGTAGTAAAGAGTAAATTAAGTGAGGAATATGGATGTACCTTATAAGTAATTTACTATTGATGTAAATTTCTCACACTGCAGGGAATGGAGGAACGGAAATGAGTTTACTACATGTATTCATTTAGGACTAAGGGTATATTTTAGCTGCACTTAAAACAAATGTGATTTTTAGTGGTGGTGGTGGTGTCATGGGGCTTGAACTCGGTGCTGTCCTTGAGCTCTGTTTTTGCTCAAGGCTAGTGCTCTACCACTTTGACCCACAGTGCCATCTCTGGTTTTCTGGTGACTTACAGGCATGAGCCAACAGCAGCTGGCAAATGTGATTTTTTGTTATTGTTGCTGTTTTCTGCTGGTACTGGGGTTTGATCTCAGAGCCTCACACTCCCGCTTAGCTTTTTTTCCACTCAACCTCCACTTGAGCCATACCTCGTCTTCTGGCTTTCTGTTGGTTAGTTGGAAATAATATTCTCTTAGATTTGTCTGCTTGAGCTGCCTTCAACTCTTGATCTTTAGACTTTAGCCTCCTGAGTAGCTAGCATTATAAGTATGAATCACTGGCTCCAGTGCTCTATCTAGTTGCTGCACTTGTTAAATGCTATTTAAATAATAGGTTTCATTTCCCCAGAGGGAGCTGACTAGATTATTGGCTCAGAAGCTTAGAAACTAAAGAATAACTTGGAGAAATGGGAGAAATCCCAGAAAAGGGAAGAGAGCCAGCATTTAAAGGAACAGCAAACAAGAATCATGAGGGAAAGGACTCATTCACATTGGAGAAGAGAATAAAGCAAGAGATCCAAGGGTACTTGTTTCCATGGAAGACAAAGGATTTCCTGAAAGCAAAAGATAGAAACATGAGCATAGTGACAAAGAGGGGACCTTTCTTACTGAGAGATGAGCTCTCTATCTGTCTAAGCAGGAAATGTTTTCTTCCCCCGCCCCCCCCCCAAGAGAGTAAAAGGAGATGTTTAGGGACAGGGCCAGAGCTGGGATAGATTCAACCTTCCCTAAATTAGGCAAAAGACTGTGTATCTCTGGATCATTAGAATCCCAGCTTTGTGGCTTTCCACTTGTTTCCTCTTACCACTGTCTGAAGGTTCATAGCGGTCGATAAATTTCAGCGCAAGGTCAAGGGCGCAGTCTTGTTCTTTCTGCTCTTCTCGAAGGAAATCCACAAATTCTAGCAGGGTCAGCTTTTGCCCATCAGATGAAAAGTTCTCAAACAGTTCCTGTACTTCTTTACGCTTAGTCAATGCCTTATAGAATTGTACAAACTCTTCTCCTTCCAGGGTTTCAGACTGCGATACATCTGCTGCCTACAAGAGAGTTTAGGGGAGCATAGACAAATACTTCAAGGGGAACTTTCATGACCTTTGTTTGCCCTGCAAGGGCAATCTTAATGACAGATTCAAATACAGCTGCACAAAATTCCCACAGAACTCCCACTATTTCATTATAGAGGAAGCCCTTCCAGTCCTCTCCCCCCAAAAGCAACTTTTTAACCATATCCTTTGCTACTAAAGAAAAACTTCAACCAGAAAAAAAAAATTATGTCCCAAAGGTTCCTAAATGATAGAAGAGACTTCCTTCTGTTTGCTTACATTCCAGTTGGAATTTCTCTGAGGCACCTGTGAAATTCTAGCCAAGAACAGAGAGAACCTTAAAGTTCATTATGAATCATGTTTCCAATAGTAAGAACCATTCCCTGTACTTCCCATTGAGCCTGTGGTGATGAGCACACATTCAGCAACTGAATGTTGCTAACCGGTATCAAAGGCCTTCTGGCCAGTCTGGCTGGCTCTGGCGAACCCTTCCCTGGCAGACTCACCTTAAAAAGTTGAAGGGCATAATCTTGGTCCATTTCCACATTCATTAGATGCAGCAAACGCTGAACTTCTGCAAAACTCATCCGACCATCCTGGTTTTTGTCTCCACGCTGGAACCAGTCACTGAGCCACCCAGCTCTGAGTCAAGGCAAAAGCACTGTGTGTGTGTGTGTGTGTGTGTATGTGTGTGGTTTCCTGAAGACATCTCTCCCTGTCTTTGCTACCAGTTTCTACACAACTTCTAGAACAAACTCTCTTGAGCACCAATCTTTCTTGTCATGAAAGAACCCCAAATTTCTCAATATAGAACTCAAGAAAATCGCTTGTTTGCTCTTATAATCTGGTCCAACCCATTCTTCTCAATGTGTGCCTGTCTTTTTTGTACTTTGGGCAAACTCATTAATTCCCTGTGCTCTAATCTCTCTCTTTCTGTCTTTTTCTCTCTCTCTTCTGCTTTTAAGTTTCCTTTATTCATGCTGTTTCCTAGACAGGTTTCTTTTTTCCTCCTTCCTCTTCTCTACAAGTTCAAATTCTATTTATTTATTTTATTTCTGGTGATACTGGGGGTTGAAATCAGGACCTATGCTTGGTAAGCAGGCCCTCTACCCCTTGGGCCATGTCCCAAGATCAAATTCTACTTTTTTTTTGTCGGTCGTGGGGCTTGAACTCTGGGCCAGGGCACTGTCCCTCAGCTCTTCAACTCAAGGTGAGCACTCTACCACTTGAGCCACAGCTCCACTTCTAGTTTTCTGAGTGGTTTATTGGAGATAAATCTCATGGACTTCTTTGCCTGGGCTGGCTTTGAACCCTGATCCTCAGATCTCAGCCTCCTGAGTAGCTAGGATTACAGGTGTGAGCCATTGGCACCTGGCTAAATTCTACTAATTTTAAAGGCCCAGTTCACTTGCTATTTCTTTTCAACTTTCTCAGAGCACTCATGTTTAAACTTCATTAGAATACACACAAATAAGCTAAACTGGCACTTGGATTATTATCTAAGTGCCATGGTACTTGGATTCTTTACACAAGTTGATTCCACTAACTGAACCAGTATTTGTATCTCACTAATCTTTGTGACCCTCAAGCTTGGCATAGTTGCTGGTACATTCTTCTTAATAGATGATGAATGAATGTACAAACTGATGTGCAATCTAGGACTCTATACTCACAACCCTTTTAAGGAGTTGCTTCCAGTCCTATAACAGTCAATAACATCAGAATCTTCTGTATAGTTCTCAGGAGCAGAGGCTTGTTTGTTCCTGTTCTTCTGCCCCTTCCTCCAATTCCAGGATTCTGATTCATACTGAAATTCTATCTGCCTATGTCTTTGCCATCCTAGATCCATTTCTCTTCCAGCCACACATTGGTCTGAGCTGTCTAGGCCCTATCAGCTGGACCTTTTCTTCTTCCCACCCTGACCAGTCCTACAGCATATAGCTCCTTCATTGATCCCCTGTCCCAACCCCAACTCTCTCTCATCGATACTGGTCCAGTCGTTCCTGTTGGTCCATGCTGGTGACAAGTTCCACCAACAGCTGGAGTCCTCGAATCCAGTTCTGGGCCTCTTCAACACTGTTGGCTACCAGGTCTAGGTTGGGGCGGCGGCCATGGAAGACAATGGTGAAGCCCTGCTCCAGGGGTAACTCCTCTGCCAAGCTGCGCAGCAACTCAGAATCATAGCCCATGCGTACCGTCTCTACATCGGAGATTGAGACTGACGAAAAGAAGCAGGTGAGAGCACTGAGGAAGGGAGTCTGACAAACTGCAGAGGCTAAGGGGCAAGCACCGGCCCCTCCTTCTCCAGGAAGACAGAGAAAAGTGATGCCTCCCTCCCTCTGGGGCTGAATTCCAAGAGAGGTTAGTCCGGGGAGAGGTAGGCTCCTGGGATTCAGGAGCCCACATGTGTCACTGCTGTTTTTGTAGGTCACAGGGCAAGGAGCCGCTGCTAAAAGTAGCAAGACCTGGCTTGCAGCCACCAGCTGGCAATGTGGATATCAAAACAACTCCATCTCCCAGCTGAAATAACAGATGGTCCCCCTTCCATGGCCACTCTTGATGGTGAGCACAAGAAAACTGGCAGAGATGACAAATAGAGACACATTTGAAAGGTAGAGTTATTCCAAAACATATAGGCCCACCTTCAGGTTTGAGAATTTCCTCTTTTTCATGTCTACAAGGGATCCAGAGAAATTCTTTGACGCCCTTACCTCAGCTGGGGGAAATATGGAATCATGAGCTTTGATTATGTCTCTAAAGCATAGATGTATCCTGTGATCAAATTTTTTTTGTCCATTGTGGGGCTTGAACTCTGGCCCTGGGCATTGTCCCTGAGCTCTTCAGTGCAAGGCTAGCACTCTACCACTTGCCACTTCCCTGTGATCAAATTTTTAGAAGTATCCTAAAGAGTTTGGCCAATAGGATACAAACTGTTATTATGTTTTAAAGAAATATTTTTTTTTTTTTGGTACGGTGGTGGGGCCTGAACTCTGGGCTTGGGCACTGTCCCTCAGCTCTTCAGCTCAAGGCTAGCGCTCTACCACTTGAGCCACAGCGCCACCTCCGGCCTTTTTTTTTCTGTTTATGTGGTGCTGAGGAATCGAACCCAGGGCCTCATGCATACAAGGCAAGCGCTCTACCACAGAGCTACCTTCCTAGCCCTTAAAAAATATTTTATAACATTCATTAAGTATATCTTGCTAACATTAAGTATATCTGGCTAACATTCATTAAGCGTATCTTGGTTTTGGATGCTTTATGTACTAGTTTAACTCACTGAATCTCTATAACCTACTGGGCAAGTACTGTTTAGTAAATGTTTTACAGATGAGGAAACAGAAGCTTCATTTAATTAATTCATTAGATTTTTTTTTTCTGGGCCTGGGGCTTGAACTCAGGATCTGGCCACTGATCCTGAGCCTTGTTATGCTCAAGGCTAGAACTCTACAATTTAAGCCACAGTGCCACTTCTGGCTTTCTCTGAGTAATGTATTGGAGAATTTCCTGAGTGGGCTGGCTTCACACCATGATCCTCAGACCTCAGCCTCCTGAATAGCTAGAATTACAGGCATGAGCCACCAGTGTCCAGCTCATTAAATAATTTGATTAATTAGTTTAATTAATTTGTCCAAAGCCATAGCTAGGGAGTGGCAGAGCCAGGGTTTTACTATAGGCAGGCTAATGCCTGAGATCATAATGGTGATGGTGATGGTTATGTTGATATGATGCTAACAAGAAAGAAGATATAGCCTATGAGCCTTCTTGCACCTTAATACATACCAGGACCCTATTTTCCCCCCAAAATGAAATGATTGCTTATTACCATAACTCAGCTGTACAAAGGGGAATTTCATTGTGACTTTTCAAACACATAAACAATGTATTCCAATTAATCTACACCCCCATCTCTATTCCTTACCTCTCTCTTTGTCTTTCCTAATATGTACCAGGGTTCTTCTAAGCTCCTTAAATGCAATGATAATTAAATGGTCCTACCTGCCTTACAAAGGCAAATGCAGGATATTGTCTCTTTGTTTTTTTTTTTTTTGGAGGGGGTCTGGTCATGGGGCCTGAACTCTGGGCCTGGGCGCTGTCCCTCAGCTCTTCAGCTCAAGGCTAGCGCTCTACCACTTGAGCACAGCACCACTTCCGGCTTTTTTCTTTTTGCTTATGTGGTGCTGAGGAATCGAACCCAGGGCCTCAAGCATGCAAGGCAAGCGCTCTACCACTGAGCCACCTTCCCAGCCCCTCAGCCCTTTTTTAAATTAAATTTTCGATATGGTTTTCCTTTTTATCCAAGCTTGCCTGAACTACAATCCTCCTATTTATGCTTCTCACTGTAGCTTGGATGATTGGTGCATACCACCACATCTAGCTTTTTCTGTTGAAATCTCTTGTAAGTTTTTTGCTTGGGCTGGTCTAGAATCACAATCTTCGTGATTCTTCAGCCTCATTAGTAACAAGGGTTACAGGAATGAGCCACCGTCCCCAGCCATATTTAACTCTTGATCAGGTAGTACTAAAATGAAACCGTGCTTTTAATATAAACTAAAGATCTATGTTTGAATAGAAATATGTTGTAATTCTTTCCCCCCCCCCCACACAAAACTAGGCTTTTGAACTCAGAGCTTTGCTCTTGCTAGGCATATCCTCTATGGATTTTGAGCCCCACTGCCAGCCTGATCTAATTAAAAAGCTTAAAGGGCCGAGCGCTGGTGGTTCACGCCTGTAATCCTAGCTATTCAGGAGGCTGAGATCTGAGGATTGAAGTTCAAAGCCAGCCCAAGCAGGAAAGTCCATGAGACTCTTTTCTCCAATAAAAACCACTAGAAAACCAACCATAAGTGGTACTGTAGCTCAAGTGGTAGAGCACTCGCTTTGAACTGAAGAGTGCAGGGACAAGTGCCCAAGCCCAGAGTTCAAGCCCCACGACCGACCAAAAAATTAAAAATAAAAATAAAAAGCTTGGGGCTGGGAAGGTGGCTCAGTGATAGAGCGCTTGCCTCGCATGCATGAGGCCCTGGGTTCGATTCCTCAGCACCACATAAGCAGAAAAAGCCAGAAGTGGCACTGTGGCTCAAGTGGTAGAGCGCTGGCCTTGAGCTGAAGAGCTGAGGGACAGCGCCCAGGCCCCGAGTTCAGGCACCATGACTGGCAAAAAAAATAAATAAATAAAATAAAAAGCTTAAAGGATTGTTTTGTTTTGTTTTATTTTTGTGTTGGTCCTGGGGCTTGAATTCAGGGCTCTGTTCCTGAGCTTCTTTTGCTCAAGGCTAGCACTCTACCACTTGAGCCACAACACCATTTCCCACTTTTTGGTAGTTTAGTAGAGATAAGAGTCTCACAGATTTTCCTGCCTGAGCTGGCTTTGAACCACAATCCTTAGATCTCAGCCTCCTGAGTAGCCAGGCTAACTGGCATGAGCTACCAACACCCAGCAAAAGCTCAAAGTTTTGGCAGTGGTGAACATGCAAGAAAACTTTTAAAATTCATAAAACAATTATTCAGTTCATATTCCATTAAAATAGCATGCAGTTCGACTATGGTATTTTACAGATGAGAAAGTCCAAGTCCAGAATTATTTGAGACATATCTGAGGTCACAAAGCATTTTAGAGTCCTAGCAAGAAAACCTTAAAAAGTCACCTAGGAGTGGTGAATTCTTCAGGAAGAATATGGAGGCAGGCCACCAAAACTACAGTTTTCTAACTTCAAGATCTGGAGAAGGTTTTCTAAAAGGGGTAGCAGAGTGAGAGAAGGCTGGGAAGCACCCCTTGGGAGAAAAAGAGCTTTGTGACAGATTCTGGAGGAAAAGCTTTTACTGGCTGAAGCTGAATATGTGTTCCTGGTTGAGACCAGGAGAAACTTCTTTTTTGGGGGGAGGGGGTCGGGGTCCGGTTGTGGGGCCTGATCTCTGGGCCTGGGCACCGTCCCTCAGCTCTTCAGCTCAAGGCTAGTGCTCTACCACTTGAACCACAGCGCCACTTCCGTTTGTTTGTTTTGCTTATGTGGTGCTGAGGAATCGAACCCAGGGCCTCAGGCATGCAAGGCAAGTGTTCTACCACTGAGCCACCTTCCCAGCCCCAGGAGAAACTTCTTGATAGGGGAAGTGACCCCAAGTGCATCCTGAGAGACAGAAAAGCACCCCCTTTCTGAATGGGGATGCACTGTTTGCAATATGGGGCTTGAAGAAGCTATATGTAGTCTGAAGTAAAAAGTACCAGGTCATCTTAAGTTTCTTGGGTCCTCAGTGTAATCTAATATTCTGCCTTCACTCCTCTCTGAACTTGAACTCTCACTCCTGGGGCTTTGGAGTTCTGGGATAGACCTTAGAGGAGACAGAATTTTACTTTCCCTTATTCTAATGAGCTGTTTGTTTGTTTTTTTTTTGGTCAGTCATGGGCTTGAACTCTGGGCCTGGGTGCTGTCCCTGTGCTCTTCAGCTCAAGGCGAGCACTCTACCACTTGAGCCACAGCGTCACTTCCTCCCCTCATCCTTTTTTTCTTTCTAGCCCTGCTCCTATACATAAGCCACTATTTTAAACATGTACCTGACACGTGGCTATCAGCACATCAACAGTGACTCAGGGAACCACAGACTATTAGAGCTGGAGCCTGAATATTAGAAAGATTGACTGGTCTGCCAGACATTTAGTGAGCCACAGAATTGAAACTAGAACCCAGAACTCTGTATAACCAACCCAGAAGCTTGCTAAGACTTATAAAAAGCCTTTAAAAGAGCTTTAAGAAGCGGGTTGAAGCAAGCCCATGCATTAGTAAAAGACACTGCTACTTTCTCTCTCCTCTGTGTCCTTCCAAATAGCTTTTCTTTCTACTTTCTTCCCTTTCCCCATCCCAGAGCTGACCTCATCCTTTCCTTTCTTCTCAGCTTACGCTTCTTTCTCCCCATCCTCTCTGCTCACTTAGGCCAGGCTCTTCTTGCTCTCCTCTTCTCATCCTTCTCCTCATCCTTTTTTTTCCATCACTTCTTCCTGTCTCTTCCCTCCTTTATCACCGCAAATTCCCAACAGCCCTGATTCTCATCCCCTTTGAGGATTTTCAGATTATTATGGTCCAGGATGGAGGACACTTGGCTTCAAACACTTGGTAGCATATTTCTCTCAGCCTCACTTTTCCCTGTTTCCTAGGAGACTGAGTAAACAAAGTACCCAGAGAATGCAATTAGAACCTAAGTGTTCTAGGACTTGTGTTTCTTCTGGTGTCTTGAGTAAAAAGATGGCCACAACTGATAACAGGTGCATTGGGGCAAGAAGAATCAGAGGGTTTGGGGAGAGGGCACTGACCAGGGCAGAGAAGATGAAAACTGAGAGTAAGAGGGACTTAGTCATAAATATATCCTAGACACATATATGGAGATCTTGGAAAGTATAGATAAATACCTCTACAGTAAAGATGGGGAAATAGACACACAATAGGTGGGAAGTAGCCTGGCACTGTAGAGCTAATTTTGGTCCTCAATTTCCAAGTAGCTTCACATCACCTAGAGATGGATTTTGGAAATTGTCATCATTAGAGCCAATGATATTCTAGTAGGATTCAGGTTGTTTTAATTTTCTCAAGGGGGCAGGAAGAAAATGAATCCTCCAGTCTGTCTTCTTACTTCTGGGGATTATGCCTAACCTGCTTCATCTGAGGAGGGCACAATGGCTTTG